AAACTATCTCCTGGATCATATATCTGTGCTCAACTGCTGAGCCACGCCAGCTGGGCATGTACCACACTTAAAAAAAAATACCTTTTTATTGATTTAGAGAGAGAGAGAGACAGTGAGAGAAAGAGAAACATCAATATGAGAGAGAAACATTGATTGGCTGCCTCCCTCACACGCCCTGACTGGGGATCGAGTCCAAAACCTGGGCATGTGCCCTGATCAGGAATCAAACAGTGACCTTTTGGTGCATGGGATGACATTCAACCAACTGAGCCACATGGGCCAGGGCGAGGGGTACAGTTCTATAACACATCACCTGTATATTGTATTGTGTGTTCACTACCTCAGGTGAAGCCTTCTTCCATCACCATTCATCCCCTCTTTATCCACTCCTACCTCCCCCTACCCGCATTTGCCTCTGGTAATCGCCGTACTGTTGTCTATCTGTGAGGTGTTTTTGTTTGTTTTTTGCTTAACCACTTCACCTTTTTCACCCCCCCTCCCCCGCTTTGTCCTATATTAATTGACCATTTGGTGTGGGTTTATTCCTGGGCTCTCTATTCTGTTCCTTTATTTATCTTAAGTATTTATCTGACTTGTAGATTACAGCCAAGGATTATTTTCTGCCTGTAAAATTCATGGTTTAAAGGGTGTGAACCTTTTTGAAACTTAATTTTTAAAACGTCAATGTAGGGCATGGCCCGTTTCAAATGGTCGTAATGTAATGGCCTTGCTTTAGCAAGACTAGTTGGTAACTGTACTGTCTTAAATATGAAATGTGGCTAATGATATTAATTGACTGATTTTCATGGGTATAATTGACTCCATTCCAGGTGACACTGGAGTTTTCCACATGTGGATAATCTAGTCCATTTTCATGCATTACTTGGTTTTCCCCAAAAGGTTCCAGTAAAGCTGTAACACAGTGAAGGGATTAATTTGAAATATACCCTTCTGTCACAAGGTTAATTTGATGCAGTTTGTAAAAATGCAGCATTTATTACTGATTCTGTTGTTCTAACAGTTACCATAAAAAAAGCACAGGATTGTTAGGAATCTCATTACAGACTAAGGTGGCAGGTTAAGCAGTCTTGAAATATAGGTCAAAGCTTAGGAGAACCAGTGCTTGTGGAATTTTATCAGTAAGCCAGGTAAGCGCCTGCAGTGTCCAGCTGTGCTGGTGCTGGTGGATACTTTTACATTCAGCAGGGGATTTATTTTAATTTTCATTTGTTAACTCCTTCACTCCTTTATTAAACTTTTACTGAGACCTTGAGGGGAGGTGTTTTTTTTTTTGTTTTTTTTTTAACAGCTTAATTCACATACCATAAAAATCTATCCCGTATAAGTGTACAGTGCAGTGATTATAAATTTATAGAATTGTGTAACTATCACCACAATCCAGTTTTAGAACATTCTCATTATCCCCAAAATTTCCTTGTGCCAGTTTATAGTTTATCCCTGATTTTACTCCCAGCCCTAGGCAACAACTGATCGACTTTCAGTTTCTATATATTTACCTTTCTCAACATTTCTTGGACTCCTATGGTGTGCAGCTTTTAGATCTGACTTCTTTCCCTTATAATATTTTCATAGTTCATTCATTTCATAGCATGTATCAGTACTTTATTCCTTTTATAGCAGATGGTATTCCATTGTATCGATACACCACGTTTTATGTATCTGTTCCTCTCAGAAACAGCCATATGCCTAAAAACTCAAAGTGATTTCCTTAATTGGTGCTTTTTGAAAACATTAAAACATTCACTGTTGATTAACTGCTTCACTTAATTAAAAAAGATGCCCCAATTCATTATTGTTTAATAAAAGTTAGAGTGAGGCAGCCAGTCTCCTACAGTAATGCCAGAGAGCACTTAGCAGAGAGCATTCTGGGAAATAGGAGTCTGAGATGAGAAAATAGAGAGCTCCACAAAGCAGGTGCCCCTTTCATTTTGTAGGAATTATCATGTAACTGAATAAAGATGAGAAGAAATGAAAAACCTTAAGATGACATGGTTATAAATCTGTACCTATAGTGTGCTCACCATAAGCTAAAGGGCTGTAGATTCATAAGGTTGGACGTGTGTGCTCCTTAATTCACTAGTCTTAATTGATCTGGATTTGGATTACAAATTATACAAGATCTCCCTGGGGAGAACTCCTTTTGGTGATGTTCACCACAGTAGCCAGACATCCTGCTAGGTGCTAGAGCAAGTAAGATGAATGAGGCATGATCCTTACTGTCAGGGAGCTCAAGTTCACAAGAGGAGAAAACTCTGGAAAGCAGACCAGTAACAGAGAGATTGGCCAAGAGCTGTAGTAGAAAGAAGCTCAGAATGAGGAAGCATTCAGGAAGGCTTCCTAGAGAGGAGACCCTTTAGCTAAGTCTTGAATGACCAGTAGCTCAGGTCAAATTGGGAGGTGAAAAGGGGACATGGGAAAGGTGTAAAGCAGAATGGCCTTCAGCAAGGTAGGCATCATAATGAGCTCATTATAGGACTAGTGCCCACCTGGGTTTTCTGCTGTGTTAGGTTGCTTGTGACCTGTGTGCATCTGGAAGTGAATGCTGCTGATGTAACCCAAACCTTAGGGACTGGGTTTATGCTGTTCACCTGCATTCCATTCCCCTTCAGGGCCTGAAGTTATCCAGAGTTGTTGGGGCAGTTACTGACTCAAGCCAAGCAAACTGACAGGGACTGCCGAGTTAATCATTGTATTAGCAGATGATTTGTTTAAAGGTATAGGCTATGGTTTATTAGGAGAACTGTAAACACAGCTCAGGGTTTTTTGTGTTTCCTCCTGAGAGAGGGCCTTGGTAAAGCTGCATTTTGGTATGCCTCTGTTTTGATTTAGATAGTTTTGGTGTCCCAGCTTTCTTTAAAAAGGTATATCTTTATTGATTTCAGAGAGAGGAAGGGAGAGGGGGAGAGAGATAGAAACATCAATGATGAGAGAGTTGTCATTGATCGGCTGCCTCCTGCACATCCTTGACTGGGGATTGAGTGTGCAATCTCCTGGATCTTAGGTCAATGCTCAACTGCTGAGCCACGCCCGGCCGGGCAGTGTCCCAGCTTTTAAGAAGCCTTCAAATGTGTGTCTGCATGGATAAGTAGAGAGACTAGAATATGAAATCTAATATTTAAGAGTGACATCTGCCCAGCAAAAAGGATTGTTTCACTGTGGGGGAGTATTCTGGGACCCATGGTTTAAGGTTAATCACCTACTTACCTACCCACTGCAAAAGCATTTATGTAGCACATGCTGTGTACCAGGTGCAAGGAAGCCAGGAAGGCAAGGTAGGAGTTGGAAACCAAATAGTGTAGTTGAGAACAAGTGTTAGGTTTGGGATGCCAAATCGGCTTCCCTCCTGTGGAGGGCCAGCTTTGATCATTGGCAGTGGTAGCCCAGAATGCTGGGATGGATTAGTGATGTATGTCACAGACACAGAATGAGAGTAAATGTGTTGGTATTTGCTGATGCTGTGTTAGAGTTTTCTGGTGTAGACAGATGACTTGAATAAAAGTTGGGTTGGGGATGGAGAGGACTTTTGTCTTAGAATAAGCATGTTTGGTGGTATGGGGTGTAGCAGAAACTATCTTGGATCAGCATGGGGATGGGTAGGGCTGGAGTACAGATGTTTTTGCTAATTATGTACTTATTGTGTGCTGTCTCTTCAGTGTCTTTAAGCCTCAGTTTCTTTATGTGTAAAGAGGAGATAATGATTCCTGACTTACCTATATCATAATGTTGATGAGAGGAGCTAATGAATCATGGGTATGAACATATTTTACCACCCACAGAACAATAAACCCTTGGAGTATTATTATTACAGGTGTGGATTAGGTGGAGCAGGAAATGCCTGCAGTTAGGCAAGGTTGAAATGGATGGTGGTGGCCTCAGGGTCTTTGCACTAGGCCCCTCTGCCCAGCCTACTACTGCCTCTTGTCATATCCAGGTTTTAACTCCAAGGTTACCTCCATTCAGGCCACAGAATTTAAGCTGGTTTCTGCCCTGTCTCCACATACCACCTCATTCTGTTTTATTTTCTTCAAAGTTCTCATAAACTAAAATGGTTTGGCTAGCTTATTTGTTTGTGTATCTTCCTCCTGTTAAAACTGTGTAAACGTGGTGAGGCAGAGATCTTGTGTGTCTCATACCCACTTCATATTATCAGAGCCTAGAGTAGTACCTGGCACATAGGAATTCAGGATTTCTTGACATTTGTTGCACAAGTGAATGGAAGGGTCTCTGAAGTCCACAGACCCAACTTGGCTGGGGGCTCAGGAGTGCTGGGAGGATTGTTAAGAATAGAGTGTAGTTGCTGTGATCTCATCTCTTTGCAAACATGTTCCTAAATCTCCCATTTCTTTGGTTATTGAGAAATGAATTTAATTAAATGCATAGTAACCATAACTTAATTGAAAATTCTGTCAACTCTGGATCTGACTTCAAATGTAATGTCTTACAACAAAATAAAGAACAAGAATCAGGATTCATATTATTTCTTTATTGTATGTAACAGGCCATGAAATTACACAGTGTTTCCAACTTGTGAGGTTGGTGAATTCAATCTCTTAAAAGATAATCTTGTTCTTTAAACTACATGTGATATGAATTTGAGTTGAAATGTGTGAATTGGACACAATTAACACCCACCCCTCCCCACACCAAATTGATTTGCTTTTAAATTGGCTTTTTTTTTTCTCTCCCCTGCTGCCTGGCACTAATTCCATTTTCCCTTGTTTCTTACGAATTTTTATTATGCTTTCACGAGTCTGATGATTATAGCAAGACTGTGTAGGGCTTCCCTGAGTTATGTGAAATGAACAGGCAGGGGGAGAGGTGTGTGGAGCGGCCCAAGGCAGTTACCTGCCTGTAAATCCACGTGTCTAGTGTGTTCCTTCACACCTGGCAACTTACTGGCTCCTTGGAGATGCTGGGGCCACTCTGGGTGTTTCTCTCCCATCACAGTGTGGACTGATGAATCATTGGTTCTCTCACAGGGTCACCTGTCTCTGTGCCCAGTTTGAGGCTGTCCTGCAGCATGGCTTGAAGAGGAGTCGAGGATTAGCACTAACAGCAGCTGCGATTAAACAGGCAGCGGGCTTCTCCAGCAAAACTGAAACAGGTACTGCTTAGCTTGATGTGGTAGTCCAGAGGATGCTGACTTTTCTCCTGCTCTCTTTATTTTTTAAAAATTTTTAATAGGGAGCAAGGCAGTCACTGTGTGGGACTGGCGGGGCGGGGCGTGGTGGTACAAAAATCACGTATAAGGCTGTCTGACTTGTCAGTAATGGTGTTGTCTGGCATCTTAATTTAAATGAAGCCATCCTTTGTGCACAATGCTCAGACCCACGTGTTGCAGACATTAAGGGGCTCGGAGGCCTGCCGCCGAGGTGCTTATTTCACTAATGTGGTGTGGCAGTTTCTGGAAATTAATAATCTGTTTTAATATTATGCATGGTGGTAGCATGATATTTCATAATTAAATCTGTATTCAGTAACAGCAACAGAAACCACACAGGTCTCTGAGCTTATAAGTTCTGCTACCATCCATTTTAAAGTTGTCAAAGCATTTCCCGTGCGCCATGCTCCTGTGCCTCTGAATGACAGAGATAATGCTGATAATAACTGGTAACATTTAGAAGTACTTAGTGCAAGCCTGGCACTTTGCCCGTCTTCTGTATAAATTAACTTGTCCAGTTCCCACAACAGCCCTGTGAGTAGTAGGGACCTTTATTTTCTCCACTGCTCAGATAAGGCCACTGCTGAGAGTGATTTGCTTTGTACCTGACCCTTAGAGGGTATCCCATGATATGAAAACCATCCCGTGTTGATGATCTAAACAAGAGCTGTATTTTAAATATTTAGACAGTTACTAAATATTTGAATTGGTTATCCAGTTACCAGTGCTGCAGTTGTGCAGTCACCTGGACATTATTTAAATGTATTTAGCTGTTAAATGTGCTACCTAATGAAATAGACCTTCATGAAAACTGTGCAATTGTGTGCATGTGTGTTTTATGTGCCTTTTAACATTGAATATTGCCATTGAATGAAATGGATCAGTGGATTGAAGATGAGGTTAAAATTTTTTTCGTTAAATTCAACCATTTAGGATCACTTTTGGTATCCTAAAACATGGCAAATTATGAATAAAACAGGTACACATAAAACCAGAATAGAATGAAACAAAAACCATCCTATGTTCTCCTTTCCCCACATTTTAAAGAGCATGCTTTTTCAGACGCTGCTTATGGTTGTCACCCCAAATTCCCAAATCTTTCTTGTTACTGTGATGTTAGTGTCACTGTTGAGTAAAATGTGCCATTTTTGCTAGTTCCCCTCTTATCACAGCTGTAAACCAGTCCCCGCCGTGTTCGGTGGTGGTGTCTTTGGAAGTTCTCTGCCGACAGAGCCCTTTGCTGTTTTCCTTTCTCCTTTGTGTTGCTGTATCTTCCTTCCTCTTCCTCTCTGCCCTTCAACAAACCTTTGATTCCTCTTCACCTCACTGTTTGCTCCTTTTCAGAAATGAATGTGGTCCCTGTTGGGGTCGGGGGAATGCTGCAAGAGAGGTTCCTGTCACTTGATTTTTCTCCTGTGCTCTTGGGCCCCTCCTTTAAAAGTCATGGACGTGGGGGGCTGGTTCAGACAAGAGCCAGCGTCAGCGGCTAACTGCCTGGCCACCTCAGGTGTCAGTCTCTATTTTCTCATATCCAGGATGCTTCCCTGGGCCCCTGCATGAGGGTGGCTGAGGGCTCTGGGCTGGTTGATGAGCTACTCAAGGACATAGCTTTTCCCACAATTCCCCTCGGCTTGCTTGGCCCTTGTATTTCTCCTCATTTCCATCTCACCTGATTGGTGGGGAGCTACCTTAATGAAATGGGTGAGGCTCTGGCTCTGCTTCCATCCAGGTGAGGGCAGCTGCTGGCCATTGCAGAGGCAACTCTGGCTTTAGAGTCAGTCTGTGAGGGTAAGTCTGGTATGACCCTGGGAACATTCGGAGCCTTATTTGCCTTCACTTGTATAGTCTTGTCAAACCTAGGGGCTTGTCAAGAGGATTTGGTGAGAATTTAATATAAAAGACCAGTTTTCGTTCATAGCACCTAATAAATGTTTAACCAGTTGCCCTCTTTCCTCAACACCCTTTTACTTTTACCTTTCAAAGATGTTTTTATTGATTTCAGAGAGCGGAAGGGAGAGGGAGAGAGAGATGGAAACATCCATGCTGAGAGAATCATCACTGCATGTCTCCACTGGGGGTCGAGTCCACCACTCAGGCATGTGCCTTGACTGGGACTTGAACCGTGATCTCCTGGTTCCTAGGTCGATGCTCAACCGTGGAGCCACGCCTGCCGGGCCACTCTTACCTTTTAACCTCTTCCTCTCTCATCCCCTTAGGACTCTGACCTTTTAGCCATGAAGAATGGCTCTTTCTGTTCCCATCCAGACTGAAATTCTTGTCTTTTTGTCACTTGGCCCTGATGATCAGAGAAGCACCAGTGCCTTCACGACGCATGTCCAGCACTCATGCTCTTGCCACATCCCTGTATCCTGGCCCTGATTCCTGTACCTGCGTCCCAAAGGGACGAGGACCGGGCCTCTGGCTCTGTTTCCGCTGAGCAGGATGCGCTGGGCTGCCTCCTAGACAATTAGAAGCAGGGGAAAGACCAAACTGGGTTAGCCCGTTAGCCTTGAGTGGCTGCCAGGGGCTTTTGCCGTCACTGTCAGCAATGTTAATTAAGCATTCACTGGTGCAGAATAGTCCTTGGCTGATTAAAACCTCTTTCCTGCTGTTGAACCTGTGATTAAAAGCCTCATAAGAGACTGTGGGCTTTCAGCTGCTAAGAGCTGGGAAAGATCAGATCAATGTCTTCTTGAGGCTGTTCTTAAAGCCATTGGAGTGACCCTTTCAGGCTGAGTGAAGCAAATGAAACCTGGTGGAAATGAGCATCGTTCTATTCCTTTGTCCCTGCTGGCTGCTGGGTGAGGCTCTTTATGTAACTCAGCAGTTTATATCAGACTCTAGAGTCAGACGACTGAGTTGAAATCTCTGCTCAGTGACTTGTCACACATAAGGTCTCTGGGACATTCGCTCTCTGAGCTTCTGTTTCCTTATGTGCAAAATTAGGTTAGTAACAGACCCTGCCTTGCAGGTTTGAGGGAGGGGCTCCATGAGAAAGTGCCTGCAAAGCTGAGGCCTTGGTAGAGAGCTGCTGGAGCTGATGCTTGATGGAAACTTGGCAGTAACTTTCCAGAGTAGATGAGAGTGTCCTTATTTTTCAGAGGATGACAATGAGGCTCAAATAAGTTAATAAGTTGCCTAAGTTCCCACAGCTGGTAAATGACAGGGCTGAGGATTCCAACCCAACCCCCCTCTCCTCTGGCATTGGGCCTGCTGCCCATTGTTGCTCCTCTGTAGACCACTCTAGCTCAGTTAACTGAATTGAAAGAGACAGGAGAGAATAAATGACAGAGAATTAAACCACAAGGCTGTTGCATTAGCTCTGTTTACAAATGAGCAACATTACCTTTTGAAGAGAGAAAGCTGAAAAAGTAACGACTAACCAAAATGATGTCGCTGAAAATCGCAGTACAGCAGGTAACACTGAGTCTGCCTGAGGCATGACTGCATTTGGTCATCTGGGGTTAGGGTGCTTGCAGGACTGAGTATGGAAACTTGTGCCCTGTACAGTATACATTAAAGAAGGCTTTTTTCATTGCCAACATTTAAAAATTATGAAATATTATGTTGAAATATGGATTTCTAACTTTTCTTAAACTTGAAGATCTATGACCCTGGGCGCACCTGTACTATTGACTTTGGTTGGAGCCCAATACTCCACCTCTCCCTATTGCCTCTGACACTGGAGACAGAGTGTTGGTTGCCATTTATTGTTGCACCTTTGTTACCGTTCTCACTGTTCCTAAATAAAGTTCAGTAGTTTTCAAGTGTAAACACCTCTCAGATTATAAGTCTTTGAAGTCAGTTTCTAGAGTGCCGTAACAGTTTTTTATTGTCAATTTTGTCTAGTTTGATAGTTGCTTTTTGGGATGGGATTTGTTAACTTTCTCACTTGGCTATAGCCAGAAGTCCCTTATTTTCTGTTTTCATCTGGATTTTGAATACATTCTTGTCTTTGTAGGTTCCTGGTGTTTTCAGCTGAATGCCAGATGTTGTGTATGATGGATTGTAGAGATAATTTGAAGTTTGGGATGATATCTTCAGAGAGGATTTGCTTTTCCTTCTCAGGCAGTTAGAGTAGAAGAAGATCAATTTAATCCAGTCAAGGATTGGGCCAGTTCACACCTGGGCTTCTGCATTTGTGAGGGCTGATGTATTTCTGCTTCTGCCTTATTTCTGGGTTATAGTTATTTGGGGTTTTCAGCTTATATCAGTTTCCTAGAACTGCCATAAAAAATTTCCACACCCTGGGCAACTTAAAACAACAGAGAGAAATGTAAACTCTTACAGTTCTGGAGTCCAGGAATCCAAAATGTAGGTGTCAGCAGGGTTGGTTCCTTGTGGTTGCTGTGAGACAGAATGTGTTCCTAGCTTCCGGTAGTTGTCAGCAGTTCTTGGTGTCCCTTCATTTGTGGCTGCGTCACTCTAGTCTCTGCCTCTGTCTTCACATGGCCTTTTTCCCTCCGTGTCTGTCTCTCTGTGTCCTGTCCTCTCCTTAGAACACCAATCATATTGTATTTAGTTCCCAGCCCACCCCTGTAGGATCCCATTTTAACTAATTAGGTCTGTTTAGAGCCTTTTTTCAAATAAAATCACATTCTGGGGTTTCAGGTGGACATGAATGTTGGGGGGACACAATTTAATCTACTATACAGCTGTATCCTTGAGATGTTTGCCAGTGCTCTTTCTCTTCAGCATGCCCCGAGCTCTAATTTTTTCCTTATAGAACCTGTGGGCATACTGAAAGCTTTACCTCTTTACCAGAGAAGCTCTATAGTTGGAAAAGGCCTCAAGGGCAAAATAAGGCTCTAAGGGTAGGACTCATGTCTGTGGGCTTTCCTCCTAGTCCTTCACTTTTGTTTTAATTTAAAAAAAGTTGCCTAGCTTTTTAAGTTGCTGTTGTTTTTTGTGGGAGAGTTGTTTTGATCCAGGCTAACCTTCCA